TGACAAAGACGGACCACAGTGACAAAGACGGACCACGGTGACAAAGATGGACCACGGTGACAAAGATGGACCACAGTGACAAAGATGGACCACGGTGACAAAGACGGACCACAGTGACAAAGACGGACCACGGTGACAAAGACGGACCACGGTGACAAAGACGGACCACGGTGACAAAGACGGACCACAGTGACAAAGACGGACCACGGTGACAAAGATGGACCACGGTGACAAAGATGGACCACAGTGACAAAGATGGACCACGGTGACAAAGACGGACCACAGTGACAAAGACGGACCACGGTGACAAAGACGGACCACAGTGACAAAGACGGACCACGGTGACAAAGACGGACCACGGTGACAAAGATGGACCACAGTGACAAAGATGGACCACGGTGACAAAGACGGACCACAGTGACAAAGACGGACCACGGTGACAAAGATGGACCACGGTGACAAAGATGGACCACGGTGACAAAGATGGACCACAGTGACAAAGATGGACCACGGTGACAAAATGACAAGAGCTGGGAGGGGGAGAGAGTACACGGCACGCCAGGACCTACTTGAGGTTGTTGATTTTAGCCACGGCGACCGCGTCTGTGGCGACATGCTGAGGCCCCGCCTCCTTGGTCAGGTGCTCTGTGGTTAGGGCAAACACCCAGCCTGTGGGGGGGGGGGGGACCAACACCACAAGCTTCATGCACGGGGCAGACACGAGGGCTACAGCGGCGACAGACAGACAGACAGACAGACAGACAGACAGACAGACAGACAGACAGACAGACAGACAGACAGACAGACAGACAGACAGACAGACAGACAGACAGACAGTGGCTACCACTACCAGACGTAACTGTTTGGCTCTCGGTTGTCATAAAGTGGCGATTTTGGTTGAGCAGACAGTCATTGACAGTTTGTGTGGGTACAGTGGAGGATGGAAGCACAAGTTTGGTCTGTCAGAAGTCTGACATTGTACAGCGGAGGGTGGGAACACAGTGTGTTCTGTACACTGAGGCTACAGTTTGCTCTGTACATCTGAGGCTACAGTTTGCTCTGTACATCTGAGGCTACAGTTTGTTCTGTACATCTACATCTGAGGCTACAGTTTGCTCTGTTCATCTGAGGCTACAGTTTGCTCTGTACATCTGAGGCTACAGTTTGCTCTGTACATCTGAGGCTACAGTTTGCTCTGTACATCTGAGGCAACAGTTTGCTCTGTACATCTGAGGCTACAGTTTGCTCTGTACATCTGAGGCTACAGTTTGTTCTGTACATCTGAGGCTACAGTTAGTTCTGTACATCTGAGGCTACAGTTTGCTTTGTACATCTGAGGCTACAGTTTGCTTTGTACATCTGAGGCTACAGTTTGCTCTGTACATCTGAGGCTACAGTTAGTTCTGTACATCTGAGGCTACAGTTTGCTCTGTACATCTGAGGCTACAGTTTGCTCTGTACATCTGAGGCTATAGTTTGTTCTGTACATCTGAGGCTACAGTTTGTTCTGTACATCTGAGGCTACAGTTAATTCTGTACATCTGAGGCTACAGTTTGCTCTGACAGGGCGTATGGACAGGCACGTCACAGTTACAGGAAGCAGCAAGATTAGAGGGGCATTAGTTTCGTTAAGTTTTAGTAAGGTTTTACGGCGCTCACAACTGCATAAGGTCATGTGAGCACCAAGGGGTGGATGACAACAGAGAAGTCCTTACAGGGAATCAGACTTACTCTGCTCACCTCTCTAGCTTCAACAGCACAAAGTCTGCTTCGACTATCAAGGCACCCCGGAAATAGCGGGTCACAAGAGAGTGACAAACATACAAAAAAGTAGAGAAAAAATGACAATAGTAAGGATCAGGAAAGAAAAAGCAGCAGTTCCCTGTTGTAGATCAGGCACAATTATGAGCGCGACATGAGTCAGCCCATTTACAATTCTACTGTGCATGAACGAGAAATGTCCCCCCTTTGGGAATGGCCTAAAGACACTTGTCACTGGGATTGCCCCGGGGGGGGGGGCATTAGTGACGGCAGATGGGAACAGGAGACATTTTTGTAGACGGCTGCAAGCAGGTTAGTAGTACAGTGCATTTGCAGGATGATACAACGGTCGAGAGAGAAGATGAGACAACGGTCGAGAGAGAAGATGAGACAACGGTCGAGAGAGAAGATGAGACAACGGTCGAGAGAGAAGATGAGACAAAAAATACTAAAACCGTTAGATGTTACATTTTGTAGTCTGTTATGCATGTACGACATGTTTGAAACCCCGAGCACATGCAGTAAACACCAGGCACTACCAGACCACAGTAGAGTGAACACCTCCAACATAGAGAGGTAAGACCACAGTACCAGACCACAGTAGAGTGAACACCTCCAACATAGAGAGGTAAGACCACAGTACCAGACCACAGTAGAGTGAACACCCCCAACATAGAGAGGTCTTACACTGACATCACCATACAGTGGACATCTCTTACACTGACATCACCATACAGTGGACATCTCTTACACTGACATCACCATACAGTGGACATCTCTTACACTGACATCCCCATACAGTGGACATCTCTTACACTGACATCACCATACAGTGGACATCTCTTACACTGACATCACCATACAGTGGACATCTCTTACACTGACATCACCATACAGTGGACATCTCTTACACTGACATCACCATACAGTGGACATCTCTTACACTGACATCACCATACAGTGGACATCTCTTACACTGACATCACCATACAGTGGACATCTCTTACACTGACATCACCATACAGTGGACTTTGTTATGTCCTTCCTAGATTGTCAGTGGAAACTAGCAGACGCCCTAGTCATCTCTCTCTCTCTCTCTCTCTCTCTCTCTCTCTCTCTCTCTC